AAGACCCCGCTTAACGCGGGGGATACGTTCCATCAAAGTAGAGCGTAATGCGAAACAGCGCTAAACGAGGCTATCTTTATATGTAAATATTGGGGTTAGGGGAAGATGGCTAGGAAATTGGTTAGGTATTAAATTTAAAAAGTATGTTTTTTTAATAAAAATAAAACCAAACATTTATTTCCTAAAGCCCAAATTAATACTAACGCGGGGGATACATTCCATCAAAGTAGAGCGTAATGCGAAACAGCGCTAAACAAGGCTATCTTTACATGTAAATATTGGGGTTAGGGGAAGATGGCTAGGAAATTGGTTAGGTATTAAATTTAAAAAGTATGTTTTTTTAATAAAAATAAAACCAAACATTTATTTCCTAAAGCCCAAATTAATACCACATTATTATTTCTTGCAAAAATAAAAACAAAATATAAATAACAAAATGAATATTCTTAAAAAAAAACAAATAAAATTCTCAGTCATATTTAGTTAGCCTTCCACGTTTTCAGTGTTCTGCCTTTTTGTGACAAAAGCATCTAATGTTGTTTGCCTTTTTCTTTTGTGTTGTTCTCTTAAAAGTTCTTCATAAACGGATAGAGCATCTCTAAACCACACCTTACTTTTGAGCTCCTGTCAAAATTCGGATCATTTTCAATGAATTGATCCATTATTTCAGTTATGGTAGACAGACTCCTTTTTACAAATGCCATCGAAAGTTCTTTTTGCTCTTCTTCTGAATCACTGCTGTCAACATTTTTGTTTTCTTCTTGTTCAGTAATTCCTTGAGCTCATCATTAGAAAGACTAGCCGCTGCTTCTTGAATTATTTCTTCGACATCTTCCACATTTACCCCTTCAAAATATGTCTGTACAATACCGCACCAAACAAGAAATACAAGTACACTCTTTCAGATATGTATTTGAAACCTATCGCTGCATAATATTTCGGGGAATCCCCGTATGCTGCAAGCGATTTCGTGGAATCCCCGGGTTGAAATAAAAGATCGCTAAACGAAACAGCGTTAAGCGGGGTCTTACTGTACTCCTTATTTAATAATTCAATTTTGCATTTTAAATTACTAAAGTATGTTTTCTTTACATCGATAGTTTGAGAACCTTTCTAAAAAAGGAGGCATACCAACTTGCACCTAACGCAACTTGCAACTTGGTAACTTTTATCTTTTCATCTATAAAAAATTGCCAAATTGCACCAAGGTAGTTGTGTTAATACGTAAGTACCAGGAAATCTTTTCAAGTAAGCCTTGAAAACATTTGATAACCTAGATCCATAATTAAATTTTGTTTGATTAATGCAATAATTAAATTTTGTTTGATTAATGCAGATCACTTTGAATTATATTTCTAAATATAATCATTAAATAAATAGTGTTAATTTAGTATTAATTCATCATAATAGCTTGTAAAAATCTAAAACTGGTACAGGTAATGCTGATATTGACAAAATCTTTGCAACTCGGTCTTTTCACTTTCATGTTATGGATACTGCTGGTATTTATGTGTGGGGTAAATTTGCATGCAAGTTTATTTTCAATCTGAAGAAAGGCTAAGAGCATAAACTTAAATAATTTAAAGAATAAAAAAATTGTTAAGTGTATTTAATAAAATTTTGGGAAAACTGGAATTAGTAGAAGGATATTTCTAATCTTGAAAATTTGCACTTACTATTAGAATTAAGCCTTTGACATATATTCTTGGACATATTAGAATCTCACATTACGTGTAACTGATTTCACATTCTTTAATATTTATTTTGTTTGGGGGGGGGCTTTTTTGTGACTTATGACTATGCTTTTTGATTGAAACAAACAAAGAAATGGCTGTTTCATTTATGTGATTTTTAACTGAAATAAGTCATTTTAAGGCATAAGAAATATCCATGCTAAACTTTGCCTATATTCTCTACTTGTATTTATCAGTTTTATGTAATTTTATGTGTTTGTGGAGTCCACAAGCTGAAAAAGGCCTGTAAAGCAACATGTGTTTTATGAATGCATGTATATAATTTATCAATCAATTTCATATTTTATTGCTTTTATTATTGCATCTTTAAGTTTTGCAGATATCTTCGTTTGCTTACCTTATAAAAAACGTATTCTTTGTCTATCGTATATGAAACTTAATGTTGTAGTCAGGGCTTAATATCTAAAATTAGAAATGCTAGAGCTCTGTAGAATTCTGTTAGAAATGGAAACAGAAATAAATAAAATAATAGATAAGGTAAAAAATAATGAATAATTAAATAAAATATTAATAAATTGAGTCATTAATGACATTATGATCCATCTGTTATACACGGATATTTTGAAAAATAATTTACGATCTAGTGTGACAAAAATGGGTTTGGATAGTGAATGTGTTTTCATGCATGATAATAATCCCCAACTATACAGCCCTAAATATATGGCTCTGGTTATTATATAACATCCTCAAGTTTTTGAAATTTCCTCCTCAGTCATCCAACTTCAATTCCAATGAGAATTTATAAAAAACTGTTGATAAAAATGTTAGAACCAGGCACATTTCTTGTAAAAATGACTTAATAACTACTCTTAAACAAGACTGGAAGTCCATATCTAGCTCAGTAATACCAAATTGAAGTCAATGCCAAAGAGACTGGAAGCCATTATTTACACTAAAGGATATCCTACAAGGTATTAATTTAAATATATTTATGAAAATATTCAATATTATATATACTGTACCAATACTTTTATACACCACAAGATGTTGGATTGTTTTTGTTTTGTAAATTTCTTATATATGCATACATTTATTTTCATGGAAATTTCATATGGAAATTTTAGTCATTCATTATACACATTTAATTACTTATTGTGGAATTTAAGTTTATAATTTTTATCAATGAGTCACTTTTAGATTATAATTTTTTTTTTTTTTTTGAATAAAGAAGAGTCTTGAATTTAACTTTCAAAATTCTGATACACTAAGCATTTTAATTTTTATTTATTTTTTATTTCATAGAGACAGTCAAAAAGGAAAAGTTAACTCAAAATTTGTTTAAAGAAATTTTAAGAGATTCAGTACCTTAGACAACAGGAGAATAATGTTGGTAGCCTTTAAAATAGGCACTGTCATTTTACATTTGTGTAGAATTACAGAATTATCTGGATCTGAACGTTGAGTCTGAGGGAAAACACCATAATTGAAACTTTTATGGAATGTCTCAACTTGGTATTAACAAGGTAAAAACCAATTATATCTTCAGAAATGGTTTATTGGAGGAAAAAAACTGAGAACATTTGATTATTTCCAAAAAATTTTATCTGAAAAGAATAAAAAAGGGTAGTTATGATAAAAGCTGATTATGATAATAAAATGTATAGATGAGGAGTAAAGAAAATAAATGTTGAGAAAATCATAAATATAGCAACCTAATAAAGAGTACAGATAGCGTCTGACAACAATGCAGATTTTATGACTCTCATGGCGGGAACAGAAGTCTGCTTGAAACTGACTTGTCATTAAGAAATAGTGTCAAAGGGAGGAAAAGGTTTTTGAACGCGCCATCCTAAATTCTAAAATAAGAGTATTTGAAGCCAGATTTAAAAGGTTAATATGCTAATTCGATTTTACACTGGAGTCTGACTTATTTAGAGCTGTAGTGTGCTGGAATCATGACTTTATTTAAAAATTTAGAAGTACTGGAATCAAACACAGCTGAATTTAAACCTTTATCACAGCAAAATTTTTCATACCTTGAAACAGATACTGATATTGCTTGGAAATTGTTAAATTCATAACTTACAAATGGCCATGGCAAAAGAACACCTTTCTTTAACATCATAAACTATTCACTATTTAGTTTTCTTACACTGTGTAGTTTGAATATGTCTTGTGTTAGACCTTGTTAGTTACTACATGTGCCCATCAAGTTTTATCATTTCAAAGTAATTTTTATTTTTTTACAGAAGATCAAAATCTAAATACATGTTAAATTAAGCCCCTCTGTTTCATTTTCAGTCATGCTTAAAATTTCTGAAAGGTGCTTCATTTCATGTGTCAAATGCAATGTATTATCATGGAACTTTGTTAAAAAGCCCAGAAATCTAGAATGAGCCAATATAAAATTAAATGTACACTACAGTGTAAACTTCAAAATAGGAAACATGCCTTTGCTTTAACTAAAACATAATAAATAAATTGCACCAAATTCAATGCTATACAGCAGACGCTCACTTCTTCCAGCTTTATGCGATAAGAAGACCACATGCAGATAGAAAAAAATTCTCCCACTTGCTCTCATTGTAACTTAAAATTAAATGTATTTAATGTAATGTAACTAAATGTATCTAATGTAATGTAATGTGCCACTTTCAACTAAATGTACAGAACAGTGTAAACTTCAAAACAAGAAACATGGCTTTGGTTTAACTAAAACATAATAATAAATTACATCAGATTTTGTGCTAAACAGCAAATATCCACTTCTAGTTCTAGCTGCATGTGGATAGGGAAAAAAATGCTCTCACTCTCTCACATTGTGGGATAAAAGGAGAAGTTCACTTTGCCTGTGTACAGGCTGTGATTATTAATGATGTTGTATTTAGAAAGAATATAGGGTCAGAATCAGGGAAGGCACAATAGAAATCTTGTTTTGCTTTAAGTTTCTGATTCTAAATAAAATTGATAATCACTGCAAAGCTGTGTGTGTTTAAAGTAATTAATAAAGATTTTACTATACAACTGAATTAAGAAATGATAATTCATTTTTCACAATTTCTAATGTATAGCCATGTGCTGCATGTAGTGCATGCGTTGCACTACTGCTGAATTCCTCTTGTATCATGCTGCCAGATCATATGCTAGACTGGAAACTGCATCAGATTGCATTAATTTGCAACCTCAGTTGCATCCTGTATAATGGTATAATATGATTTTCTTTTTATGTAGACCAGTTATATATCTACTTTGTTTTTAATTATTTGTACTTTTCATCTAATTTCTCCCTTGTTTTGTATTTTGCAGTAAATTGAAGATTAATGTTGATATTACTGTGGCTATGCCCTGTGCTAGTAAGTCAATTTTATAAGTAAAAATGCTCCATTTAAAAAATTTTTGTAGTTCGAATTTTTTTATTAAGTTGTAAATTTTAAAATTGCAGTATGTATTATCATGAACTTGTGAACTATTATTAGGTATTACAATAAGACATGCCTTACTGCCTTAGTTATATAAAACTTAAAATAATTTATTATATAATTTATAGTTAGTTATATAAATAAATTTTCTGGAAGCTCAAATTTTGTTTTCCCACAGGAGCTATTATTTTTTAATTTCCTGTATAAATGCAAAATATACTGCACATCATGAAAGGTTTTAAAAAGTAAGAAATAATCTTCTAAAAATATTTATTTTAGAAATAATTTTATTAATTCAAGCATATGCTGTATCTCTGTCCATTTAAGAATGCAGAATGAGTCATTAAAGTCTCAAGGATTTCAGCATATTAAGGCATTGCAATGGAATGTGAGGGGATAAACATAAATGTGAGTAATGGAAAGATAAATAGATGCTTATGTATTAATGCAACCGTCTTGGCACATTGTGATGATTTTTTACAGATGAAAAGGTAAAAGTTACTTATTGAGTGCAAGTTGGTTTCCATGCCCCTTTTTTGAAAATATTCTCAAACTATCGATATTTATTGTAAGTCAGTAAACATTATCAACATATGAAAAGAAAACATAGTATAACAATTTAAAATACAAATTTGAATTATTAAATAAGGATTACATGATACATTAAAAAATAAAACACTTACATGCTTGTTTAAATCTTTCTGTATTTTTTTGCATGATTTGTTTTTGCTTAAAAAAATCACAGAATTGCAGACTTAGCTTCATGCAATCCTTGTCAGCAGCTACTATTGAGGAAATCCATTTCTTCATTGTTCCCTTTAGTAAATTCTCAGCAAAATTCTGTACTCTTGCAGAAATTTTACTGCAGTCTCTTCCATTCCTGGCGAATTCCACAAGCTCATATTTTAAAGCTAAGGGTAAAAATATAATGATTTATTTCTAGAAACTATTGGAACTTGGATACAACAAAAAAGAATGCATCTAAAAAATGATGGCTTTCCGGGATTGTTATAAGCATGGTTGCCAGAGTCTGGTACATTTTAAAAATTTGCTAACTTCTACTAAGGTGGTTAATCTTCCTGTATTTGCCTCATCCCATAGTCCTTGCCATTTTATTAAAACAAAAAATAAAAACTTATTTCGTCCTAGTACAATTAGCAAAAAATCATGGAAAGTTTCCATCGGTTCTTAAGAAGAAATGTAAGATGTGGGTGCAGAACACCAGCACATCTAGCAGATGCTAAACATTATATTTGTATATGTCAATGTCCATTACTTTCAATTATTAGAGCAGAACATTTAATAGGATTTACAACAAAAATTCCAGCAAAAGATTTATTCTGCAATACAAAGTCTGTGTCTGCACCTCAGCAAATAATGAAATATGTTATTGAAGACGAAGGCACTGTGATTATAAATAAATAGTTATATTACATGAGTGAATTAGCTAGTATGTAAGAGCAAGTAAAGATTATAACATGTCTTGTCTGCATTTGTAAAAAGCCAGAGAAAATTATATGAAGTCTCTTTTCCATCTGTATATGTTGTGTATGTCTTCCTTACTCTATTATTTTATTACTTTATATGTTTAACAAAGTACTAGTGGGTCCCATTGACAAGAATAATCAAATTCTCAGTCAAGTGCAGTTAATCAATTTTTTATCCTCTCAGCCTTATGGCTGTATATTTGTTAGCTCTTCCATGATAAGCCAATAGTCTATCCTGTATTTAAGATTGGCTTGGTGAATCCTAAGTTTTATTTTACCTAGAAAAGCTTAGAGGAGGACAAAGTACTCAATAGTTAGGTTTTAGGGGGAGGAGTTATGTGATTACAGCAAAGCCTAAGGGGATGGATGCCTTCGTGGAGGACTTTCTAAGGGAAACTGGACTAATATCTGCTAACGCACTGCAAATAATTGGTTGCTGCCTTTCTCTCTGTTTTTTTATTTAGAAAGCGAGCAGATACAAGTTACAGATATAGCACATTTTTTTAAGCTGAGAAAATGTTCCTCTGCATGTTTTCCGTAGAAGAGAAGTTCCAGATTTTAATCACTTTTTTTAAAAAAATGCAAGAGGAAAACGGGGAATCCCTCTTCCAAAAACTAAACTGGTTTATTGACTATTAATTGACATTATATAAAACCAAAGCAAAGGTTTTATAAGTTTGTTGCAACATCACACCTATCCATTACTGGTACAAAATCACACTGTTTCATGACACTTTCTGTTTGTCAAAAATGCTTTGCAGAAAGGTACCAAATTTCTTATTATATTCAGTTCTTTCTTGTTAAAGCAGTCACTGCATAACCCTGTAAAGGGGACTGAAATTTAGCCATTGCAAATTATGGTTAAATTTTCCAATTTTGACAACTGAACACAGTTGCTGCTTTAACAAGGAGCTACTTTGAAAATTTATGTCTTTCAAAGTCATGTAATTAGATGCAGTTTGATTAGCTTCATTTGCTTCAACAGTGAGTTTGTGCCCTTCATGAAATGCATACTTGGACTAAAATATAAGTGCTGAATATATAGTGTTAGTTTAATTTCTTGTTTGTTTATTTTTCAGCTATAGGTGCAGATATACTAGATGTCACAAATCAAAATACTGAATTCTTTGGAGAACTTGATGAAGAACTTACACATTTTGAAATGACTGAAATGCAGAAAGCTCAATGGCAAACAATGCAGAGAATAAATTTATATATAAGAGAAGAATATCATGCAATTCAAGATTTAATTTGGCGAGATGGTTATACAAATATTTTGCGAGGTTTGCCAACAGGGTTGGTATATTTTTAAAGTACTATAAAGTTATTAAAGCTTTTTTTTATTTATATGTCTTATGCTTGCATAGGATTTTTTAATGTTATATAAAGAACCCTGAGCTATTTTTATTTGATAGTGAATTGCTAAGGAGAAATAATTAATTGATATAAGTTTTAATGAGACATTTTAATTATAGTATAAAAATTATAATTTGTTTTCTGAGACTGTGAATTATTAAAATCAACGATTTTAAGAATAGTTATTTTTATAAGCATGTAAAACAGTATGTATACTTAATTTGATTCATGCAGTTTCATTTTCAATACTAATATATTTTCTCATTAACTGTGAAATTGGCAAACGTTTTAACCAAACTTGTGCCAATTGTTCCAGTGAAAGTTTAGAGGGGCAGATTGCTGTTTAATTAGTTAGGCAATCAACTGACATAGTATAAAAGTTTCAGTAAGTATGACAGATATATGCCAATCATTCTGGTGAAAGTCTGGACAGAACTTATCCTCTTTATTCAATTTGGTAATCAACAGATAAAATGGCTTATCGAGAATTAATCGGTGTTAGATGAAATCAAGGGGAAGATCTTATGAATGTGTTTCAGCATCATGTTTTTCTTTTTCTTTTTTTTCTTTTTTTTTTTTTTTCTTTTTTTAATGATTATTGATGCTAAATTGTCTTTGTGGCAATTTTTATTTGCCAAAAATGGTTAATTGGAAAATGCATAAATACCATATTTTCAGTATGCTTTTTTGGAGGATGTATCCCATTTAGTATTATTAAGATTTTTATACATTTAAATTATTCATATTTTGTTAAAGACAACAAGTTTGGTATGTTTATAATTGTTTATAAAGTTTGGTATGTTTTCGATCATCTAATAGACTTGGTCTTGGTAGACATTAAGTAAATTATCGCTAAGTCTAAAATAACAATCTAAAATAACGACTGAAACTTGAAAAGGTTGTAAAAGATCCTTTTATATAAAACTAAGGAGAATAGAAGGCACAATTTGTGCTTACTAATCAGCCAGCCACTCGTGGTGATGTAACTTAACCCTCTCAGCGTTACGGATGGAAAATTTCATCTAGAAGGCTGTCTTTCATATATATTATACATGAAAATTTCTGCCAGCATTTAATGTATCCTATTTCAGGTTGGTTGTATATTGAAAGGAAAGGAATCAAGGTACAAAATGAGAGAGTCTTTTAGTTCATAGTACATGCTTACATACAAGTAGTTCATAATACATAGATCCTGTTTCATAATACATGCTTACATAGTTCATAATAGATATAGTTCATACATGCTTACATAATACATAATGCATTGATCCTGCTTTATACTATATGCTTACATAGTTCATAATAATTTTCATTGTCCATAATTCATACAGGTTTCATAATATATACAGTACATACACAATGTTGATCTCTACTAAATCTGCAGAAGAAAAAGAAAAGAGAGAGATTGACTGGGATCTATTCTGCACTGCACAAGTCAGTTCCCAATTCCTCCAGTTTCTGCATTATCTTGCATATTTCCCTGCAAAGTGCTGGCTGTTTGATCAGATAATGCTTATGACAAACTGCTGCACATGCCACTGTGTGGTTAGAGCGCAACGAGTAAAGTAATGGTCTGGTTTGCTCATGGTTGTGCGATTCCGATTAATGTTAAGATAGTGTCCATGCTGATGAACTGCATGGTGTGAGAAATTTCCATTCTCACAAAAGTATACTTACTTATTTATGTATTAATGAATCCTTTATTCCTGGAACTTATTTTATCAGATATTTAGCTTTTATTTATTTTGATATATTTATTAATGTTTACTCTATAATTTATCTATAACAATACTGAAAATAATTTTGTCTGGTTTCTGCATCTTCCGTCCATGTGTTAAGGCAAAGTTGGTAGAGTTAACATTTACTAGTGTTGTGTGATAGAAGTCTGAAATATCTAGCAAGATATTTGAACTTCACCTTTTACCATTAGATGGTGTTTGTTGTAAAATATACTTTATATATCGGTAAAAGCCAGTTTCAGTATAATTTCATACATAGGTTTTTTTGCACATTATATTTTCTAGTGTTCATAATGGTTATCCTTAAGCTAATCAAGACAAGTATTAAGTTTATAAGGTATTTCTCCATCCTTTCCACATGCCCTCAGGGTGTAATTGGAAGTGTACTCAATACACATTCTAGAGATCCAGGGCTCAAGTACAAATAAAGGCACTGCACAGTTTTCACATCTCTTGCTTGAAAATAACCCAGTGGTTCTGAAAGTTGAAAATTTGGTGTAGCAAATGTTTAAGTGTTAAGAAACTATGCTTTTCTTTTCATAATTTATATTTGTAAAATTTTTGAATAAAATAATAATGATTATTTTTTCCAAGGTTTTAATAAAGCTTGATTGTTGTTATAGCTTAACAAAAGATAAAAATGTGAATATTTAAATAGTTACAGAGAACTTTTATATTAATATATGCTGGGTAAAAGTTTTTATAGCAACATATACACTGATCAGCCACAACATATGACAACACTCCTTGCTCCACCTTTGGCATGCAAAATAGCTGAGGCCCATCATGATCTTATTTCCACCATCAACTCATAGTGACTTTTGAATTGGTAAAAAATATATGTTTAGCTATCTTTACAGCTCATTCTGTTCTATTCATAAGCATATTCATAGCATGTACTATTCTATTTGTAAATAAAAAAGAAGCATTTTACAAGAAATTTTATGAGAATAAATTCCATAGTTTCATTATAATTTGTTATGACCCAAAAAATGTAGTTTGGGATGGGACACTCATCAGTCAAATGACAATTTTTTAAAACTATATGGTTCAGATAATCAGAAAGTATCGAAGATTATATTAAATTTCCTATTCCTGTATGAAGAAATGGTTAGTGGGCTTTGAGCTGATGTTCTTATTTGCAATAATATCTGGCCAACTAGGAAGGCAGGACATCAACTGGAATTCATCATCATGTTCCTCAAATGACTGTCACACAATTCCAGCCTTGTAACAAGGAGCATTGTCTTGATGATGATTTCATTTGTGGTAGGAAAAACCATAAAGTCAACATTAATGTTCAAATTGTATAGAGTTATCATGTTGCATTATGCAATAGTCACTGTCCTTGAAAGCATAATACTTCCATTATCAGCATATTTATTGTCCTATGTTCAGCTATGCTGTTATTCAGCCACTATTGATCTGAATAACAGCATTACTGGATATGGCTATCAATGTGACATAAAAGAAGTTATGATTTATCTGACCAAGTAACTTTTCCATTGTTGCATGGGCCAGCAATGATTTTTATGGGCTTGTTGTAGTTATAAATATCGGTGATACTAATTTAACAGAGGCACATGAAAGGGGCATTTGCTACAAAATTCCATATCCAACATTCTGATGAACTGTGTTATAATATGCTTACACTTACATTGTTTTCAGCTGTCAGTTGTTTCACCAAGTATTTACCTATTTGCAATTGCTTATTTGCCCTCACTTAGTAGAACAGTCTCTGATGTCTACATTCATTCATCAAGTGTGAATATCCAAATGTCTAAGGATCTACTACAAGTTTCTCGATTCTTCTCCCATTTTCCAAAGGCACTAAGAATAGCAGCTTGCAAGCATCTGGTGATCAGGGCTGTTTTGGTGGTGGAGCCATCACAGTCCAGTATTGATCAATGTCATTTAAATCAGTAGCTTTCTATATTTCATGCACACATAATTGATAAGTATTTCTTGCTGTATTCCATTTTGTCATCTCTCATTTACATCATTCTAGTAAGTGTATCCCCGTTGTGTCCTCATAATAATAAGTTTTAATCATCAGTTTTTTTTTTTTTTTTTTTTTTTTTTGAGTCTTTGGATTTTGTTATATATGTCATTTATCTTTTCATAATATTATCTAATTCTTTATAATCCGACTAGAAAATAACAATTTATACAAGTTATTTTTTATTTCATTTCATTACAATTCTGGTTTCTGCCTTTTTTAGGAGTAATGTACATAATGGTCCACCCAATGCGTGTCGCTTGAAAGGCTCATTAGTTGTAAATAAAGTCTCTGGTAATTTTCATATAACTGCTGGCAAGTAAGTTATTTTTAATATTTTTCATAGAATAAAGATTTTATTTTGAGGATAAATTTTTATCATATTTTATTTTTCATAGGCATATTCCTCTTGCAGCTGGCCATGCACATATATCAGCATTCCTTAAAGATTCAGGTAATGTATTTTATAATTTTTGTAACTGACAAAATGTATGTGCAACTGTAAACTATGTGTTCATATGTAATGAAATTTTGGATGAGATATATAAATCGATGATAGCAGGGTGGTTACAAGGAAGATGCAGCTATTGCTTACAGTTCATTTATGGCATACCATCATCAATATAAACACATAGCTAAACTGCTACAAAAGACATGCCTGTTATTCCATAAATATAAGTACATGTTCTCATGTTTAACATTATAACTGATAAGAAGCAGCTGATTACATGTTAGCTGAACAGATGCAAACTTAAAAAGAATTAATTTTATGCTACTAATGTTAGATTAAGAATAATGAATTAATAATTTCCTTGTAGCTAAGATGATCTGTGACCATTTCGCACTCTTGAAATTTCTAAGAAAGAATCATGTAAAGTGTTAAGGTGAAGTGCCTGTTTTCTTGAAATTTCTGTCTAATCTTTTCAGCTCATTTACAACGAAGAGTGGCTAGTCACTTGAATATCCATCATGCCCATTTTTCATTCATTGAACGTAATGCACCACTTTCTTTCAGAAGCCTCATTTAATGCACTCTCATCTTAAATTTGTTTGATTTGTGTACAAATCTCAGCAGTCTGAACATTTTGTGCTTTCAGAAACTAATTAACACTTAGTATTTCATACTTGTGGGATTTTCTATTATCGAGGCTATTTTGAAAAAATTTCTAACTATGAAACAAAAATGAAAAAATTGCTAGCAATGCAAAAAAAAATAACAAAAAAATTGACAAATTACAAACAATACAATGTTGCATAGCAACAAGACTTAGCTCAAACTAAAGTACTGGTTTGTTCTACCGGAGAGAGTTGGTGAGACAGTAGAAGATGGTTATGTGTGGAATGGTAAGGGATCATTCTGTATTTTCTGAATCTATCATGAAAAGACACATTTTTGTAATTAATAAAATGGTTGTTTCTCCTTTTTATTTACATTATGTCTGTTTGAAACAAAATGTAGTTCACTTATAATAATACTTCCATTATCAGCATATTTATTGTCCCATGTCCAGCTATGCTGTTATTCACTCACTTAAATAAATGCTATTTTTGTATATTGTGCCATGAGTGCTTTGGAGAAATAAATTAGTCTGTTTATAAGCAAAATAAATCTAATATACCTCATATGATGCAATATACTGGGTGACCCAAAAGTTTCTTAACATTTGAAAATTCAGTAATTTGGGGAGTAATGTAGGTAGAGAGAAAAACTGAGACATATGCCTGAAATGACATGGAATTTTATTGAGAAAAAAAAAATGGCCAACAGACAGCAAAATGTCAGTGATGCCTCGTTAGAATCATGCATAAAATGAGCTGTAGTGAGAGAGGAAATCAGATGCACCAGCATTCGCAGCATGTTGACTTTACCAGAAAAGTCATTGTTAGTGAAGTTGTACTATCAGACTGGAGAATCTGCTACTGCAGCTTTATGATCCTCTCACCATAAGAAGGGTATTCAAATAGGTAAAGGTCCTGTGACAAATGTAGCTGTGAAGAAAGTGATTAGAAAGTTCACAGTTTTAGTTTTGTATAACACTCAAGTCCTGTCAACTCCCACAGCTGCAGAATTGTGTTACTGAAATCCTAGAACTGTCATGGAAACCCATTGCATAACAAGAAAGTCGCAGTGTAGTGTGGATTTACCACATCATTTATGCTAAAAGCCTTTTTCTTTGAGGAAATGCATGGTTCTGCTTTTCAAACTATCAACGTGATGGGAACGAGGTATGCTGATATGTTACAGAATCGCATCATCCCTAACCATGGATGGTAAACATCTGCTGTAAGATATGACTTTTATGCAGGATGGCCCTCCATCACATATTGCTATACCTGTGAAAAATCTCTTACCCGCATTGTTTGGTGAGTCACCACTTCCATCATGCTTTGTTCCCAAGTCCCCCAAATCTCAGATCGTATGATTATTGGGTGTAGAACCTGAAGTTGCAAGTCTATTGCGATCACTTGACCTCATTGCGATCACTTGACCAAATCTCAGATCGTATGATTATTGGGTGTAGAACCTGAAGTTGCAAGTCTATTGCGATCACTTGACCTCATTACGGATGCTAAAAGACAACATCTGATAACAATTCCTCAGTACCTACAGATACGCTGTGCAGTGCTGTTCACAACATTATCCCTTAACTATAGGTATTGTTGATAAAGATGGCCAACATGTTGAACATTTGTTATAAATGACATCATCTTTTCTAAAAACCAGTTGGTATGCTAATTATTACTTTTATTTTCACATGAAGCGACATCTGCCAGCCATTTTTGTTGTTGTTTGTTTTGTTTCAATAAAACCTCGTGTCATTTCAAGCATGCATGTCAGTTTCTTTCCTCTCTACCTACATTATTTCATAAAATACTGAATTTTCAAATGTTAACATACTTTTGGGTCGCCCAGTGTAATTAAATGTTTTCTCATTTTTCAATTGTACATTCTGATGGCCCAAATCTATGGAATTTAAAGACTTGATACTTGTAACAGAAAAGCAGAATCAGTGCATTTCATATGTTCTAGTACTCAAAATGAATAAAAAGAGCAGAGTATTGAGAAGAATATATGTGCATACTCATGTGTACATACCTTACATTTTTGGGCATTATGAAGAATAATTTGTTTCATTAAATTTATTACATTTCCCCCAAAAAAGTGTAGTGATATTTAACAATGCAAAAATAAATTAAAGAGATATATGCTTAAATATTCCCATTTTTAATTAAGATGGAATGTTTTCGATATGATGATGATGGTAAAATTTTAAAAATGTCCTTAGTTTCATTATCAAATCTGTATCAGTTAGCAAAAGATAAATATACAGTAGTACCTCTTGTATGTGACACTTCCGAATAAGGCATAATTATGTTGGTTCTGGTCCCTTTCTTAATGAACTTACCTCTTATTAATAGGTAATAATTAATAAGAGGTAATAATTAAGAGGTATTAATATCTCTACCTCTATTATTTTGAAACGTTTTCAGTGTCCCTCTTATTAAGGGACACTGAAAACGTTTCAAAATAATAGAGGTAGAGAAATAAATAAAAATAGAAATACTCTTTGTTAGTAATGTTTTGAGGTTTCAAAGTCCGGTTTGTGCTTAGTGAAAGATAGTTTTGTGACAAAGGAATAATGAAGTGAAAAGTTAAGCCCTCTGTTTTGAAAACCTGTTTTTCAGTAGCGTAAAGGGGTACAATACACTGAGTAAAAGGAAGTTGTGGTGCAAATGGAAGGCTATTTCACAGTCATAGAATTAAAAATACAGTTATTCTTGTTACAGTTTTCAGAAGTAAGAAGAAAACAATGTTAGCAAGTTGTAAGACAATCCAAAACAGCGACTATATGGGAAAGAAATGGTTGTGAGAATGGACTATCTGCCAGGTATGACTGGGGATTAAAGGAAGTGTAGTTTCGTACTTGTATATTATTTTTACATATGTTATCTTGCATAGCTTTAAAGAGGAAACGATTCATGTTAAAACAAAAAGTTGATGTAATTCATGTAGCATAAATTAAAAAGCATAATTTGAGAGATTTAGGGAAGAAATTTGATAAGTAAAAACCAAGTAAGTCGTGCACTGAATGATAGAGAAAAAATAAAAATATTATGGATTACTAATTCAAATGAACATTCCAAGACTGTACAAATTAGAAAAACTGAAGCATATGAAATGTATAGAGGAGTGCTCAATTGGTTTTGTTGTGTAAGAGCAAACAGTGGAGTATTATTGGAAGAAAGGGTAAAAGAAATTTTGCAAAATCTGGGACTACAAAGTTTTCGAATCATCAAATGGTTGATAAGGAAAATTTAAGCAAAGACATAACATTACTTTTAAGAGTATTCGTTATAAGGGAAACTTAATAGCTATGCAACTGTAACAGACTGGATGAAAAAGCAAAATGAAATTTGTGAAGGATATGAAGCTAAAAGCATCTACATTGCATATAAAACTGGATTATTCTATCCAATTTTGCCTAATAAAATTCTTGCTTTGGTAGTAAAAAGCTCCAAGAAACGTCTCACTGTGCTACTTTGTTGAAAAATGGAAGAGAAGTTTGAGCAACCACTTGTTATTGGAAAGGCCAAAAAAAAAAAAAAAAAAAAAAAAAAAAAAAAAGATGCTTCAAACTCATTAGTCCGAAAGCTTTATCAGTTCATTGGTACCACAATGAAAAGTCAGTGTATGACGCAAAGCATAATGTCAGAATGGTTGAGTTGTCTTGATTTAACAATGTCAAGAAAAAATAGGAAGATTTGACAGTCTCCAGCCCATCCACCAAATGTAAAACTGAAATGGGAAGTTAGTGCTTTTCCTACCTGATGCAACATCAGTATTAAATCTAATTATACCTTCGGACCAAGGTATAATTAGATGCTTCGAGGTTCATTACAGAAAACTGTTTTTACAGCATGTTCTTTAGTCAAGCTGCTTTTGGAAACATTGATTGGTTTGCAAAATGTGTCAATGTATTGAATGCCATTTAGTCGATAACAAAGACTTAAATCCCTATCACAAAGTTGCATTCAGCACTGTTTTAAGAAAGCAAGCTTTCAAATTCTAGTTTTGAATGCCCTCTGTGATAACACTACTGTTAGTGTTATCACAGAGGTTAATGTTATCAATGATGAAAATGAATTGTTTGAACTTGTCAAAATCAGTGTCAGTGCTCAAATGCAGGAATATTTAGAAATTGATGAAAACTTGTGTACTGAAGACACCAGTAACAATATAAAAACTTTTATTTCAACTAATCATAATTATGTGAACTTTAACAAAAATAATTTAAAAAGTAGTGAAAGTGAACAAGAGCTAAACAAAAAGTGATACAAGAAACTATACAGGTGCCTTAAAATACAACTCTCAATTAAAAGAAATTATAATGACTGTTGATGACAGTAGTGAACTTAAGATTATGTGACTTATCCATGGAAAAATATGTCTTA